CCTACTTTAGCATTCCAATCCCCTATTATGAGCAGAACATCCTTCTTTGGTGTCATTTCTATAAGGTATTGTAAGTCTTCATAGAATTGGTCAATTTCAGTTTCTTCAGCACCAGTAGTTGGTGCATAAACTTGGATTACTGTGATGTTAAAAGGTCTGCCTTGGATTCGTATCGAGATCATTCTATCATTTTTGAGATTGCATCCCAGTACAGCTTTTGCCACTCTTTTGTTGACTATGATGACCTGGATGGTTAAGTCCAGTCAAAGGCAACTATGGGATGCAGCGCTCATCTCACTTTCAGGCCAAGGGAGCCAGTGTTTGTCCAGAGACAGCTTTCCAGGTCATGTGGCCAGCATGATTAAACCGCTTCTAGCACAATGGGTCACAGTGACAGAAGCCAAAGCGCACGGAAACATCATTTACCTTCCCGCCGCAGTGGTACCTATTTATCTACTTGCACTGCTAGGTTGGCAGGAACTGGGACAGAGTAACAGGAGCTCACCCCTTTTCAGGGATTCAAACCACCGAGAAAGCTCAGTGGTTTAGACCATAACACCACCCGTGTCCCTGATCTGCCTTAAAGAGTTGTTCTGATAATCCTTGTACACATAGACAGGCAAAGTTGGGGCACTCTTGCCTGCAAAATGTAGCATGAAAGTGTAGAACTTTTCTCTTTACGTCCTGTAATTTCATTTTTTTCACTCCCGATGGGTGAAGCTTTGGGGAAACTTCCCTCCACACCATGGATAAGGCTCCAATCCCATTCACACTAACCTGGGCACCTCACTTTGCCCCCCACCCCCCATGGCACTCCAAGAGAATAGACAGAGGAGATGTGATGCTGCCATCTTTGCAAATCCCTAGACAAGAGACCAAGGGTACTTTTTAATATGTGATTATTTGTGCTCTTGGTGGAGTTCAGGGGGGAGGATACAGGATCCCACTTTCAGTACTGTTTGTGCTTGCATTAGTTTCAGGGCAGAGATAATACTTCCAAGTCAGTGCATGTTCCATAATTTCCTGTGGAATCCTGTAACTTTTTATTCTGCAATGTTCTGCTTTATTTTTCGTGTGTGCGCACGCTATAGCACTAGTAGCACCCCTCCAGAGAGCAGTAAAGCAATCATGTTTGGGAAGCATCACAGAACAATTGATAAAGCAGAAGGATGTGCGGACAGTCCAGTGTAAATCCACTGCTAGTCCACTATTGTTGCACCAGCGCCAGGTTGAAGAAGGCACTGCCTGCCTGCCCCCAAACCCACCCCAGTCTGGAGGGTCCTTAAGAGAAGTGCAGAAGAAAAGTAAAGGGGTCTGTTGGGGGCTTAGACACAAAGGTCTGTTGGGCAACCAACACATTGCCCCTCTTTGTCCTTAAATACAGAGTTTGGCATCTAAGCATTACGTCAGACCCTCCTGAATCACAGGCCAGCTCCTTCCTGTTTTGTGCCCTCCAGATTCTTACAACCTGCTTTTTATGCCCAAGCTGTTGTCAGCCTGCGCTGGGGGGTTGTCCTAGGAAGCACAGTGTCATTTGGTTTTCGTCACCCTCCTAGAGCTTCCCCTTGCTTTAAAATGCTTTGGGTGTCAATGTGATGATTGTGAAGTATGGTTGCACTGCCTTAAAAAAAAGAAAACTTCAGAGTTTTTTCATTATTAGTATTACTCATGATGAGTGATGGGGCTGAATTTGTACAAAGAAAGGATGACAAAGTTGCCTGGCACTTCCCACTTCCTCAAATGGTGAGAGGTTTTACGGCACAGCCTTTTTCAGCGTCCATTTCCTGCACGGAAGACTTGTGGCATTTTCATAATATCTATTTATTTACAAATGCGCAAGTTTTCTTTATGTGCGTCTGTGTTTGAGTGGGGAGGGTGCCAAGAAGCAAGCAGGCATCCATTGTAACAGCCAAATTATCAGTTCCTCAAAAGCAACAGCTTCCTTTTTTCAGCCACCTGCAAACCTCCAATTTTCTCTCTCTGTCGCAGCTGAGCCCCTTCTGCCTCTGCTTGGGGCCCCTCCAGACATCCTTGTTATTGCACCTTTGTGATGATTTGTGCTCATGATGCTTTTGGGGCAGCCACATGCCATCGCATGTTTCCATGCCATTTCCAATGCTGTTTGTGTCTGCAAATGTATTGGGGAGGTCACATGGCTTCAGTCCAAATGTCAGGGAGTGGGCAGAGGAGGAATGGTGAAGACCACCTCCCCAGTCTGACCCTTCCAGAGAAGAGGAAGACAGTTCAGAATTACAACAGGGGGTTGAGAGAGAGGCAGATGAGGGGAAAGCTGGGAAATAATGGCAGAGGAGGAGGAGGAGGAAGAAGCACCAGGGGGCTGACAGCTGATGGACTTTAGAAAGCATTCCAGACCCCCCCCCCGAAGAGCTCAAAGACAGAGGGCACTTAGCGATACCCGTAGAGGAGGTGATGAGGATGACGAATGAGGAAGTGGAGAGTCACTTGGGACAACGCCACTATCCAAGAGGCTGCGTTCTAAAGCCTCTCTCTGTAAATACTGAATAAAAAGCGGACGGTGAGAACATTCCTCGTCTTTGTACGTTCCTGGGCCATGGGAGTTGCTGGCAGCCGCCTGACACCAAACCAGTGTATATCCCATAACTTCTCAAGAAATTGCTGTATCTTTTTATACCACAAATGTTCCGGTTTATTCCCCCACAGACATTTGTTGTTGTTTTTCCCCCCATCACTTATCTTTCATTTGCTCCCTTTTTGTATTCCAATTCAATTTGTTACTTCAGCAAATCCTTTCCCTCTTTGTTTATCCTAGTCTTTAATCTTAAAATATTGTAACATTAAATTTTTACCTGTTAATAATCCATTTTTTCATATTCCTTATAGCGTTATAGCTAAAAACCACTTAACTTTTTATCCAGACATTTGTTGCACCACATCTCTTCTGGACAGCAATAATATTCTGGACAGCCTTGGGGGAGCATTGCAGAACCCTCACTAAAGTGGAATGAATCCACCACTCGTGCACTATGACTGTTTCAGGTGCAGAAGACACTCGCAATGAAGCACCCATCTGGAGGGGCCCTTAGGCAGGTGGAGTAGCTACCAGCCCCTATAACACCTTCGGTTATCAGGCTATGCAGAAACTACAGAGAGAAGATTGTCTCTGTGCTTGGCAAGACAAAAGTCCTTCTCCCATAATTAATACAGAAGCACACAAAGCAAAATAATCCATCCTCTTTTGGAGCAAAGGATGAGCATCTGGTGGTGAGATCTCAGTCTCCATGGATCTTTGCAATGCTGCCACCTAAATTTTGGGAGACGTTAGGCAAGGCATCCTCAGTGGGCCCTCTTCGCTTGCAAAAGATGGGACACGTTACATCGCAATGTTCTTATACACTGTCTGCCCTTATTTGGGTACAAGACAGGGCCAGGTCTTGCCCAACCTAGGCACCCTTTGGAGCCAGGCTTTCATATTCAGGGCCTGATAAGATAGGGAGACTCCCACACACACCCCACTTCAAATGCATGGAGTGCTGTAAACACCTACGCCAGAGCCAGTACAAGAAAGACGTCAAGAAGTACAGATAACTCCCTCATTCTTGTATGCATTCCTTAGGATCTCTAAGATCTTTTACTTGGTCATCTTCCTCCTTCCTTCCTTTTGCAATGGAGATCAGCTCTTACTCTCATCTCCAGCCTTTCTCTCCACTGACTCCTTTCTTCTCTGTCAGCATCTTTCCTGAACCACAAGGTCCCCGGACTGGAACACACCGCTCTGAGTGAGGCCTTAAAGTTGTGCTGCGATTATTAAAGCAGCTCCACACCATATTCAGGAATAGCTTTGGGGGTGGGGGTGTCCCAAAGCAAGCACATAAAGCTAGGGTGGGGAAGGACCCATGGACCTCCAGAGAAGTTGGTAGGCTATAGCTCCCATTGTCCCTGCCCACTGGCCATTCTGGCTTGGACTGATAGGGGTTGTTGTCCCACAACACCTGGGGGGCCACAGGTTCCCTGCTGTTCCTAAAACAGCAATGCAGTGGGGTGGGGACCTCTTTAGGCAGCCACTTCTGAAGCATGGCATCAAGATTTCTCTTTGCTGGACTGCCATTCCATACTTTGCATCCTTACAATTGCCAGGAACAAAAGCCACCAAGATCTGCACCAGCTGCAATAAAACGTGTCTCTTCTGTATCGGTCTCCCATTGGAGAATGACTTGACTTTTCCTGCAATGGTGCACTCTTCCACTGTCTCTTGAGACAGACAGATGCCAACAATAACAAAAGTGGCTTCCTAGACAGACAGACAGACAGACAGACAGAGGCTGTAAATCTGGTGTGGGGAACCTCTAGTCCTCTGGATATTGCTGAACTGCAACTCCCATCAGCCCAGCAAGCAGGAATTATGGGAGCTGTAGTTCAGCAACCTTTGGAGGCCCAAAGGTCCCCCTCATCTGCTGTAAATCTTCCTTGGGCAGACTGTTACCTAAAGTTTTTGTCCCTAACTTGAAGCTGATTTTTGCATGTGTGTTCATCACTAGACAACCACCACATCAAGTGATAACTCATATGGGTAAAAAAATCCAACCTGGGAGAAGTTTTGTATCACCTGACTCTGTATTTTCCAGTGGAATTAGCTCACACATTCAGGCTCCAAATCCTATACCCACGTACCTGGGAGTAAGACCTACTGAACTCAGTGGGACTGAACTTCTGAACAGATTGTGCTGTCAGCTTGCCAGTTGCCAATGTTCAGAAATCAAACAACATGTACTGATGCATAGACTGGACCTTACATTTGTGCATTTGGTTCTGCTGTTTTTTTGTGAGGCATCCTTACTAAACTGCATTTTGTTGTAATCTTTGAATGACATCTTCACCACCTTCTCTGTAATGTTTGCAGTCCCTTGTTTCATGTCAGCCTGTGAATTCACATTTATCATCGAGCAGTACTCACCCCTGCAGACTGCTGTCCTGTGGCTAAATGTGCTGATCACCACCCCTTTTCTGACTTGTCTTTCCAGCTCACAACCTCCAAGTACCCAGTGGTGGTGAAGATGGGACATGCTCATTCCGGAATGGGCAAGGTGAGTGGTATAGCTTCTCTCCCAAGAGGCGCGAGAATGCAGCCCAGCTCAATGCCCTTTGGTGGGATGCCTCAAGTGGGCTGGTTTATCAGCTGCCCCATTCTGGAAGGAGAGTTGTGTTTTCTTTCGTTTTCCAAGGCATTATGTGTATTGCACACTTAGGGTGACTTGCACTTCGGATGCTATCAGGACAGTCACATGTGAATCCACTTTCAGTTTGTGCCTGCCTAAGTTTAGGGTGCAGTCACTCTGCATCATTTCCAATCCGTGCCCAACCTGTAACTTCCTGCTGAAACTACACAACTTTTTATACCACAAATGTTCTGGTTTATTTTTGTCCCGGTTTCATTCAGCACACAGCAATAATGTGTTAGTGTTGTGGAAGCATTTCAGAACGCGTGAAAAAAATCCACCACAAATGCGCTATTACTGTGTCAAGAACATGTTAGAGAATACACCTCAAGCTGAACTCCTGTCTGGTGGGCCACCTTGACGAGGTAGCTTCTCTCCCCTCTTGCTTACCTCTTGAATTTCGATGCTCCAGGCAGCTCTTTGTACTGCCGACTAGACTGGGCCAGCCTTGCTTGGAATGCAAAGGCCACCATCACCCAGACAAGAGAGCTGTTCAGCTCCTCCTTTGCACTTCCTTCCGAAAGTGCTTTCTCTCCAAAGCATTGCATGGCCGAAGCAGACCCCCCTGAAACGATGGCACCTCGTATAATTCCCTAGTTTGCCTCTGGGGTCCCCAAGGGCTCTCTTTCCCAGCTCAGTAGGAGAAGGGAGTGCAGCTGAGCAGGTATCCACTCTCTTTCCCTGAACCCCTCCCAGTATGAGTCTGTCCTCTTAGCAACATTTTGTAGTTGTTGCCTCTTTCAACATCATTGCCCTGCAACTCACAGAGAGAACTCTGCTTTTTAAAGGCTGGAAGCAGAGGTTGCTCCTAGATGACCTGCTTATTCGTCCTGATTTGCTTGCAGGGAGATTGGACAACATGTATTTGCTCTAGAATTACTAGTACGATCCAAGGAATGGTGGGAGCGACCAAAGGAACCTTAACCAATTTGATGAGCCATTTGCAGTTGCACTGTAACACTTGTATGCACTGGGCATGTGTGCTTGATCTTTTAATCAGCATTTGTTTGCAGGGAGGTTTTCCTTCATTCTGATTTGTTTTGCTACACTTTCCAGTGTGTTTCTCAGCCGTTTTATTGCAAAAAGTCTGATCTTTTGGGGAAGCAAGTTTGTTGCGCTCAGTCAGCTACATTTCTGTAACCCAGATTTGCTGGCATGCAGTTGAATCCCACTTGGAAATAGCAACAGCCTGGAAGTGCCTGGATGAACAGTCTAGAACAGTGTTTCCCAACCTTTTTTGGGCAAAGGCACACTTGTTTCATGAAAAAAATCTCGAGGCACACCACCATGCCAGATGGGGAAAGGTCACTTTTTACTTATGTAAAAAAAAAATAAAAAAATAGTAACAGCATAGAAGGTAATGGTTATCTCTTTGATGTCTGATGGGAGGGCATTCCACAGGGCGGGCGCCACTACCGAGAAGGCCCTCTGCCTGGTTCCCTGTAACCTCACTTTTCACAGTGAGGGAATTGCCAGAAGGCCCTTGGCACTGGATCTCAGTGTCTGGGCTGAACGATGGTGGCGGAGACGCTACTTCAGGTATACTGGACCGAAACCGCTTAGGGCTTTAAAGGTCAGCACCAACACTTTGAATTGTGCTCGGAAAGGTACTGGGAGCCAATGTAGGTCTTTCAAGACTGTCGTTACGTGGTCTCGGCGGCAGGTAGCAGCGCTCACAGCTTACGGACTGCACCGTGTAACAGGTGTCTGGCCCAGCAGCCTAAGGCGGACAAGCCACTGAAACAGGCATTCAGAATCCATTCATTTCATAAAACCTGCAGGGCTCAATCTCTGTGTTTGTGTATGTGTGTGTTTCTGTTTTGCCCAAGGGTCTGGGGGTGGGAGAGAGCTCTTTAGCATGATGCTTTTAAAACAATTAAATTATCAACAAACAAACCTGATGATACGAATAGCAACGTCAGGTGCTACGGGGGGGGGAGAAGGGGGCCTACTCAGAAGTAAATACTGCGTCCAGGCGCAATTAGCGCTGATTTAAGGTGCACCAAGACTGCCTAAAAACCTCACCAAAGATATGCAACAAAGCGCTTCGTTGCAGAGGGGAGAGTTTGTGCACCGTGGAGGCTGGAGGGCTTCTATTCTACATGCGGGGGTTGGGGGGGCGAGGAAAATGTGCTCCGTGGTGGGGCGGGGAAGGCAAAGTTGCAAAAGCGCCCTGCTCCTTCTTCCGCGGAGGGAAACGCTCCTGAGGCTTTTGTGAGGTAGGGAGAGGAAAGACGGGGGAGGGAACCCAAGGAGGATTTGCACGAGAGGGAATGAAGGGGAAACGCGCCTCCCACGTGGAGCACTTTTCCCCGGGAAATGCACGGGGTGGGGTCGTGGCTGATCCGTGCTGCGCGCTCGCGTCGTGCGGCCCAAAGTGCTGCAGGATCGCCAATGCAAGACCCCCTTTTAAAACCTCCCCCTCCCCCAGCTCTGGAAAAAAAGGGGGAAGGGGATGGCGTCGGCGTGCGGAGGCTGCCCGTGCCCGGCCAGGCGTCGGTGGCGGTGTCAGCGCTGCTGCAGTGGCTGCTCCTCCTGCGAGCAGTGAGTGGAGCGCAGCGGCGGCGGGGGGCGCGCGCGCGCTAGGGCGCAAGGCTGGCGGTGGCGGCGGGGAGCCCGGCGGAGGAAGGAACTTGTCCCTTCCCTCTGGACTCGCGCCCCCCGCAGATGTTGCGCCCGGTGCGACTGGCACCCCTGGCACCCCCCACGCTACGCCACTACTCCCACGGCACACTAGGCAACGTCCGGCGGCACACTAGTGTGCCGCGGAACACCGGTTGGGAAACACTGGTCTAGAAAAGAGTTGGATCTCGTTTGAGACAGGCTTTGCTTCGCATGGGGCCCATCTGCACACCCATTGCCATTCTTTTGTCCATGGCCACTTCTGGTCAAGCAGTTTAAAAAATATTGCTGCCTTGCAGGGGTTTCATTCTATGAAATCCTGTTGGCCTGAGGGCAAAAGTGGGATGAGCGTGAATACACATCAGGCCTAGTGATCCCTCTTTCAAACCACCTCCAACTTAAAATAATAAAACAAAATTTGCTCTGGCGCTTGGGAGAATGGACCACGCCCACCTTTTGATTTCCTCTAATTCTTTGGATGAACGAAGCTTGTGGAAAAGTGACCGCGAGTGGCTGTTGTGTGTGTGCAAGTTGAGGACAGGTTTTTAAAGGGGCAGAAGCCCCAGGAGTCACTCACTGTTTGGGGAGTGGGCTTTGCTTGCGTGGGGCGCAATGAGGCAAGGGGATGCTTCTGTGTGTTTGCTTACAGGTCAAGGTGGAGAACCAGTATGACTTCCAAGACATTGCCAGTGTGGTCGCCCTCACCAAAACCTACGCCACTTCAGAGCCCTTTATTGATGCCAAATATGACGTCCGCATCCAGAAGATTGGCAACAACTACAAGGCCTACATGTGAGCTTGGGGCTGGGGCTGCTGCTGCTTGCCTTTCTCTGCACCCTTTGAGATGCTGCCCCGTGATTCCCGCCCCGCCCCCCGCTTGCCTTCTCAGTGCCGGAGTATAGAGAGGGTGTGGTGCACTCCATCAACCAGGACAGACAGCTGCCCACCGTGATCCCTCTGTGGCATGTCACGAGTCAGTGGAGGTGCTGCTGGGCATTCTTCCGTATTCCTGTGGGTGGGGAAACCAAACCATTTCTCCCTGCAGTCATTGCCTTGTCCCTTTGCCTCCCTGCTGCTATCAAGTCTTCCTGACGCTAACAGTGCCTTCTCTCCCATGGCAGGAGAACCTCAGTCTCGGGGAACTGGAAAACCAACACAGGCTCTGCCATGTTGGAGCAAATAGCCATGTCGGACAGGTAAGTGGCAAAGCATCAGAGATGGGGCTCTGATTTGGGTGGAAATGACTGGGAACAATTTTTGCCCAAAGATGGAAACTTACTGGAAGAACGAGAAACCAAGACAGTAAACTTTTTAATACAAAGTGGAAATCATTTATTGAATATTTGCAAAATTATTGTAAACAGATTAAATCATGAGCAGGATTGATGTAAAAACGTGCAGTGGTATAAAATACATATTGATTACAGTAGTACCTCGGGTTAAGAACTTAATTCATTCTGGAGGTCTGTTCTTAACCTGAAACTGTTCTTAACCTGAAGCACCACTTTAGCTAATGGGGCCTCCTGCTGCTGCTGCTGCGCCGCCGAAGCACGATTTCTGTTCTCATCCTGAAGCAAAGTTCTTAACCCGAGGTAATGTTTCTGGGTTAGCGGAGTCTGTAACCTGAAGCGTATGTAACCCGAGTTACCACTGTATGTGGGATAAAGAAGAATTTGGTTCAATTTGGAAATGCAGCATAAGTATTATAACCATAGGGAACCGCAGAAAGAGGGGGAGGGAAGTCAAAACATGCTATATATAATAATTGGTATTTTTGTCTTTATTTGTTCTTTGCAAAATGAAAATCATAAATAAAATTATATTAAAAACGAAAATGACTGGGAACTGAAGGGGAGTGGATTACATCCAGGGTCTGGCAAAGAGGAGGGCTTCCTGTCTAAAAATTGCCAGAGCTCAAGGTAATGAGGCAGAGGCCCTCACTTGCTCCCCCTCATGGGCTCAGAGTCACCGCTGCTCTCTCCCCCGACCCCCGGATTCACCAACAGGTACAAGCTGTGGGTGGACACTTGCTCAGAAATCTTTGGTGGTTTGGACATCTGTGCTGTGGAGGCTCTGCATGGGAAGGATGGACGGGACCATATCATCGAGGTGAGGCGCTGGGCACATGGGCACCTGCACCTGCCTGTGCCACTTGCCCTAAATATGAATCAGCTTGCAAATTGTTGATTAATTGAAGACTTTTGAGTGAGCAATCTACCTTTTGTCTGTTATTTGTAACCAGCGCAAATGAACTTTAGTGTGTAGGCCTTACCAGAGATCCAGGGTGGCATTGTGGATAGGCTGCCACAGACCATAGAATCGTAGAATTGTAGAGTTGGGAGGGACCCTGAGGGTCATCTAGTCCAACCCCCTGCAATGCCGGATTCGTTTGGCCAACATGGGGCTCAAACCCATGACCCTGAGATGAAGAGCCTCGCGCTCTGCCGGCTGAAAGGCCCTGCTCCAAATCCCTGCTCAGCTGCGAAGCTCGGCTATGGCCTCAGGCCTATTCCTGCCTTTACCAGGCCTCATAAGGTTGTTGTGAGTTAAAGGAGGGTGGCTCCACGCAGCCTGGCCTGAGCTCCACAGATGTTGCCTGGGATAAAACTGCAACCCCTAAAATGCATGTTTTGGAGATATTAACTACTCACAGTTTGAAACTACCATTCATTCTTAGAATGAAAGACCTTTTTTGTTCTTCATTTGCTATTGCATAAACACACAAGAACCAAAATAGCTCCCCATAGACTAAGATGTCCTTAATTTGCTGCCTGCCCCCCAAAAATTAGTTTTATGTTAAAAATGCATTCATTGAATAAAATGGGACCACACAAATGAAAGCTTGAGCTGTTTAATCTGCTGATTAAATCTATTGAAGGTAGCAGGTCTTGTTTTTCACCCCATGTGGTTAAACCTGTGCTTAATGTGCTGTCCTGCTTTGGAGAGCTCTGCTGCACATTGAGAAAAGCCGTTCAGCTGCCCAGTCCATTGGATACCATTGCAGCCGCATCCATCCTTGAGAATGACCAGAGGTGGTGTGTCCCTCACTCTGCCCCACACTGCCTTTCCCATGTGCCTTCGGGGGGGGGGGGCACTTGCGCCCTCTAAAGGCGACAAAGTGCTAAAAGTCAGCGGGGCCACAGTGGATCCCAGCCAGCGACTTCTTGGCTTCCTGGATCAGGCTGCATTTCTGAGTCACCACCCGTTGCCTCATGTGGTTCTGTTAATACTACTGCTTAGCGCTTTTATACATATTTTCTCACTAATCCTTTCCTCAAATATCCTGTAATGTGGCTTATCATCACGATCTCCAGACTTGGAGGGAGGAATAGTGTGTGTGTGGCAAGGCCCCCTCAGATGCGTGATTTGAACTGGGAACCTTTTGTTTTCAGCACAGCCTCTTTGCTACTGTGCCATGCTAAGCCTGGCTGTATTTGACATCCCTCTTATTTCTTGATTGTCTCCTTCTACATGTTTGGCTTTCAGCCTTAGGAAACCCAATTGTCTGTATGCTGGGTGTATCTTACATAACTAATTTAAAACAGGGGTGGGGAGCCTGTACCATTGGACTCCAGATCCCATCAGCTCCAACCCAACATGGCCCATGGTGAGGAATGATGGGAGTTGTAGTCCAGCAATGCCTGGAGGGATGCAGGTTCCCCACCCCTGACCTTTTGCAAAAGACCCTCCTGCTTCCCCACTCAGCCTGGTTTGGGAAAGGAGATCACCACCTGCTCTTTCTCCTTCTTATCTCAGGTTGTGGGATCCTCCATGCCATTAATTGGAGACCACCAGGATGAAGACAAGCACCTGATAGTGGAGCTGGTGCTGACACGCATGGCACAGGCCATCCCTCGCACACCTGTGCCCTCGCCTGTGCGCTCGGCCTCAGGACAACATGCCCAGGTATTGCACCTCCTTTCTCTTCCCCTTTACGCTCCCCGAGATGAGGCTTTCACTGCACAATCCCCAGGCATCTCTTACCAGAAGTAACTTTCATGAACTTCTGCAGAGTTGCTTTTAGGTGAAGTGGGGATAGGATTGCAGCTTTCACCTCATCACCACAACTGTGTGTGTCCATATATGGAATGATTATTCATCACTTCCTCAAAAGCAAAGGAGAAGGGACCATAGGCAGAGAGATGGAAGAGCAGGGGACTGTGTGGAAGTGTGTGTTCACTCGTGGCTGTGGTTACCTTAGGGCTCTGGCCTGGGGTCTCTGTGTTGCAGCTCCATGGAACAGCCCAGTGCCACTGCTGCAAGGCCCCTGACATCTTCCCAAGTCAAAAGGTTGCTGGGTCAAGATGACGTGGCGCTCAGGATATGGAGACCCCAGAGACGCGTTGCCAGTCAGAGCTGACATTCACAGTCACAAACTGTCCTGCTGGATCTGACCAAGAGTCCACCTGGCCCAGTGTCCTGATTCCAGCCTTGGACAGCCAGATGTCTCGGGGAAGCTTACAAGTGGAGTCAGAAGCAGCATCCCCAGCACCTGGTATCCAGAGCTCATAGCTACCTCCAGAGGGTCTGTCAATGCACGGTGGCTCCTTGCTACTGGCAAACCTGTTTGCCTCTTCAAGTCCTCTCAGCTAGTCATTGGGTGTCTGCACACACACAGCATGAGCATGTGCATTTGGCACTCAATGCAGGTGCCTTTTGGGGGTGCTGTACACATCATCCCTTCGTCACCCCATTCCCCCGCTATTTATTTTGCTTTCTCAAGCGCTTCCTGCCTATGTAAGCCCACCCAGAGAGAGCGCTTTCTCAGGGCGCCTCCAGCTGGGGCAGAACTACTGATGCTGGAGGGCTGCGCAGCTCCCCGCACCATGTTTAACTTGTCTATGAATGAAATAGGCAAAGCAGGAAGTGGTAAACTTATCTGCCTCTGTATACTGAAAAATATCCTCAGTGCATCAGGAAAGCAACGCTTTCAAAAGACTGGGAGTTTGTTTGTTTGTTTTTGCTTTAAAAAACAAGGTGTGTGGAAACACTAAACAAGAGGAGGGGAATAGAGCGCACTGTTGCACACTAGTTGGAAATATGCCCACCTTTGTGTGCAGACAACATGGAAGTCACTGTTGCTTTAGATAACGTTATTGCACACAGGAGTGCACAACTGCAAACTGCTGTGTTCAAAAGTGCTATGTGAAGAAACAAAAGTCCTGTGCTTTTCAAAGGTTAGGTGTGTACACAACCTTTGTCACCCTATTGAGTGAGGGGGACTCAAGTAGCTGAGAAGCACTGCTTGGCTGCAGGATGGGGGCGCTGGCGTGGAGACCACCAGATGCTGATGGACTCTAGCTCTTCTCGGCCCCAATCTTCATGCCCAATGGTTGGGGACGAGGCAGTTGTAGTCTTCACAACTGGAGAGCACCTGGTTCCTCCATTCCTGCTGTAAACCCTTCCCTGGTTGAGCCATGTGGCCCCTCAGGCTCAGTGGAGTGCCTTAAGTTCTGCTATTAGGAGAAGTGGAGAAAACCACGTCTTCCTCTCTGACTCTCCTCCACACTTTGTGACCAACAAGTAGATGGTTGCTCCACCTCAGTCTTTCCCTACTTGGTGCTCTCCAGATGTTCCCTACTTGGTGCTCTCCAGATGTTGCCCAGCATCAGCCAACGTGGCCAGGGTTCAAGGGTTCAAGGAGGTGTAGTCTGTAGTCCCAACAACGTTGGGCAGGCAAAGGGCAGTGCTGTGGCACCATTCTGGGGAGAGGCTGTTCTGACTCCATAGAAGAGCAGCTTCTTTGTATTTTACAAAAACAAGAGAGAGGGGAAAGGTGTTTCCCTTGGCTCTTTCCCTGATTATGGGATGTTCTGTGTTCTGCTCCACTTGCTGATGGGGGCCTACCCAGGAGATCCAATGGAGCAGAAGTCCCATGGGACCCACCTGCCCATGTCTCTTCTCTTGGTGTGCTTGGTCAGGTGGGCATCCCCAGACGGTGCTGGGCGTGAGCAGCCCCATGGACATGCTAGGGAAGGATTCACAGCCAGGAACAAGACTAAGACCACAGTGGCAGTGATGGGAGCTGTCATCTTCACAATGTTGGGAGGCCATCAGGCTCCTCCAGCCCTGCTTGAGAAGCTTGCCTCTGTTGGGCAGGTGATGCTTGGCGAAACACACATGGAGAATGGCACCAGCTGGGCCAGAAGGTATGGAAATGTCCAGCCTCTGAGAGGAGAAGAAGATGGGAGTGTGGTTCTGACCATTCCCTGCCATTAATCTTTCACTTTGGTTCTGTCCTCAGGCTCAGCCAGCTCCAGCTGGGCAGCGACAAGGCCCTCCAGCCCAGCAGAGACCCCCGCCACAGGGTAAGGACCCAACATCAAGAAGGCCAGGGAACTGGGGCTCACACGAGGGTGCAGAAGGGCTCATAAGTCTGGAGCTGGGGGGAGAGGCTTAGAATCCTAGAATCGTAGAGCTGGAGGGACCCTGGGGGTCGTCTCATCCAACCCCCTGCAAGAACCCACCACCTCCCCAGGGAGTCTGCTTCACTTGGGAAGTTGTGGGCTCTCCTTACCAGAAGCCTTCTGTGTGTGCGTAATCACTGGGTTGGGATTTCTGAGGACCCATTTCAGTCGTGACAGGTTTCTTCTCTCTCCTTCTCTCTCCTACCAGGAGGCCCGCAGCACCCCCCTCCGGGCTCCCAGCGCCCTCCTTCTCAGCAGCGCCCTCCCCCGCAAGGCCAGCAGCTCTCGGGCCTCTCCCCTCAGCCAGGGGGCCCCCCAATGGGCCAGCGCCTGCCCAGCCCCACCACCCACCAGCCTCCGCCACAGGCACAGCAGCGCCCGGCGGGGCAACGCCAGCCCGGCCCGGGGGCCCAGCAGCCTCGCCAGCAGGGCCCGCCGTCCGCACCACAGTCCCCCCAGCCCCAGAGGGGTCCGAGCCCCAGCGGAGGCGGGCAGCAGCCGTGGCAACAAGGGTCCCCTCAGCAGCAGCAGCGGCCTGGGGGAGCTGGCCCACCCAAGGCAACCTCCGGGGGGGCCCCAGGGCCACAGCAGCATCAGCCGCCGCCGCCACAACAGCGCCCCCCAGCGGCTGGAGGTCAACCCCGGCAACATCCGCGGCAGGGCAGCCAGGGGGGCCCGCCTCAGCAGCGCCCTCCGGGGGCAGGAGCACAGCAGCAGCGCCCAGCACCTCCCACAACCCAGCAGCCAAGGCCTAGCACTCAGGGGCAGGGCCCCGGGGGCCCCGGGCAACAAGGCGGCCGCCCTCCACCAAGCCAAGGCAAACCACAAGTGGCCCAGAAACCCAGCCAGGACCTGCCTCCCCCCCAGCCCCAGCTGAAGTAAGCGGTGGACTCCGGGGCTCCTTGGGGAGGGCGGGAGGGGCAGCTGGAAGCAGTCATGGCTCCTTGCCTGTGTTGCTGGCTTAGCTGGGGGGCAGCTGGGTGTGGTGACTTGGCAGGATGCTGGGGGGGGGACAGTGGGGGCCAGCTTCTCAGGTGCTATGGGGCCTCAACAGAGCTGTGTACACCTTGATGCCACCCTAATGCTGTGCAGAATGAGCTACGCAAAGTAAGTGCATTTGCATATAGCTGCAGAATAGTTTCTGCTTTTGCCCTCTTACCAATGAATCTGAAATTCCTGGGTGGAGGGAGGGAATTGCACAAAGATGAGAGAGAATGGAGTGCCGGGGGGGGGGGGGGCTGGGAATGAAAGCTCACTTGCCCACAGGAAGCCCTTCCCAGCTACCCTCTCACAAGCCTCCAGGGCTCCTGGGTCCAGCATTTCTCCAAACTTTCCTTTGCTATCAGTGAGAGCAAGGAAGCTCCAGATGGAAAGCCATCACACCTCTGAAACAGAACTGAGTTACTAGGTTCCCCTCTTCATGTAATCACCCTGCTAAAGAGCAACACTGCTTTCAAATAATGATTTGTTCAAAATGTGACATTTCAGAATTAACATTGTCCATGTTGAATTTCAGATTTTGCTTCTGAAAATCAGCTTTAGAAAGCCAAGTGCATAGCTCAGGCCTGATGGAGTTTTAAGCTGTGGCGTTTGCATTAGGTTAAGTTAAAACCAGGGTAGGTGGGTGCTTTTCATGAACACTTGAGCTGCGTGTGAAAAGGACGCCTCCAGCCCTCCAGCCGAACTAAGGTGAAAGTGTTTGCCTGTTCAGAGTGAGGGAAGTACTGCCCTGGCTTTGTAATGACAATAGCTAAATTTGATTGGCTGTGTGGTGCCATCCATGGGCCTAGCTGGGGGGGCAGCTGTCCCCCCTAAATCAAGCAAATAAATAAAAATACTTAACTGACCAATTGTGTCACAGATAACTCAGTTCTGCCCCTGCCCCAATAAATCCTGGGGGGTATGCCTGTGGTGTCATCACATAATCAGACTGTTACATGACCCCAGGGATCACAAAAGATAAAAGAGGGTGAAGAGGCTGCTGGGACCAGGGCAGCAGACAAAGCCAGAGAGCTGAGCACTTGGGGTTTCAGGGGACAGCCCACCTCTCCACCCCCTCCGGCCTGACTTCCTGCCAAAAATGTTTCCTTGCACATCTAGTGCATCCCTTAACAAAGCCAGCAGGCCTGGGGCTTCCTCTCGCGTTTCTGAAGGCAACAGGTTCTACTTGAAATTGGAAAAGCTGCAAAAAAAACACACACACACCTTGACCTGGAGAAGCCTTGCCTCCGAATTAGAGGGATGCGCCTGAGAATTCGCCTCCCTCGAAGGACTGCTCCGTTTCGCGGAGCCCGAGGCCATTCCCTGCTCTCTGCTTCCCCCTGCTGGACATGCCGTCCTTGGCCCTTGTAGTTTCGAGGTGGGGCGGGAGGGGCGGGGGCGCAGAGAACAGCACACCCCCCCACGTGCCCCCTTCAGCGCGCGGTGCTTGTTTCCTTCACTCTCCCAGGGAGGAGGGGGGATGCTTCCCAAACGCAACCCCCCCCCCGCCTCTGTCTCTCTCCCTGCCCCTCACCCCCCACCCTGCATTTCTTGAAGACGCAAGTTTCTCTTGCCTGGCCTGATATTAATAGTGTGTTTCTCATCTCTCCGCCTCTCCTCCCCCTTTCCCCCTCCCCTCTTTCCTGCCCCCCCACCCCTCCCTCGCTGCCCCGTAGCAAATCCCAGTCTCTGACCAATACCTTCCCCCTTGCAGAGGCGCCGGTGCCGCGGGGCAGCCTTAGTCAGGACGAAGTGCGAGCCGAGAGCATCCGCAGCCTCCGACAGAGCTTCGCCAGCCTCTTCTCCGACTGAGAGACTCCCCCCTCCACGCTGGGACCCCGGACCCCCCCCCCGCGCCCCCTGCCCCTCTCTCCCCTTCCTCGCTCCTGCCGCCCCCACCCTCCCCCGCAGGAGCCGCAAGGGACGCACAAGCCCCTGCCATTTGTTCGTCTTGGGCCAGGGAGAATCCGGGGGGGCATGGGGGGAGCCAGCGAGGGAGCCCTTGGCAAGAGGGGGGCGCCTGGCTCCCTGGCGCAGGTGAGGGGGGAGCTCCTGGCCGCTCCGAAGCAGCGCCCATGGCTTAACTAAACTGGCAGACCCCTGGGTACGTCTCGGGGCCAAATGAATGGCAGGGCTTTGTGTGTCCAGGGATGCTTCTGACTGTGGAGTCATTGTTGAAAATAATTCTATACATCTCACAAGTCTATCGTCTGCAAAGCTGGATTCTGAAATATTTTCCCACCCCACCCTAAATCAATTTCAAGAGCTCCACTTTCCCGCAGAGGGAGCCTCCGATAAAAAAAATTGCCAATGAATCCCCCACCCAAACCCAATTTGTCCCAGCTCCCCGTTTCATCAAACCAATTCTCCGTATGCTTTGCTGCCTCCTCCCCATGAAGAGGAGCCCACCCCCACAATGAATGCTTCCCAGCACACACCCTGGCAGTGCGCATCTCCCTGCCTGCATTCCCTGGAGTCCTCCTTGAACCCAAGGCTGGAGATTTCTCAAGTCCACGTCTCTTCTAACATGAATATGCAAACTCTGCCCGGCTCTCTTCTCCTGGCCCCGACGCTGGTGAGGGGCGGGGGCGTCCCCAGAGCGGGGTCCATGGGAGAGGAGAGGGGTCTCCGGGGATCTCTGTATATAGCACGAGGGAGGGGACCCCTCCTGGGCCATGTCTGTGTTTGTGGCCACAAAGGTGTTTGTGTTGCTGTTTGTGAATAAGCCAACCTAGCGCCAATGCGCTCCCCTCCAACCCACCCAGTGTCCCTCTTGGTAGCTTCCCCAGCTGCCAACCACCACCACCTCGGCTACAGGTCCCCCCCCCTTTCACACAGACCCCTTAGCGATTGGCAGCCTCCCCCACCTTCCTTCCCTTGGGAACAGTATACTTGGCAAGCCTTAAACCCGGTTTACCTACCTACCCCTAATTGCAGTGTTCCCATGACTGTTGTGGTTTGAGGTCCACTTGTTGCCAGGGAGCTTCCAGGCAGTGGGCAGGACCAGCCGTGCTCTCCCTTCTGGTCTGAGCTGGGATGCTGGCCTATGCTCTGATCCACTGCTCCTGTGGATTGGAGGGCCAGCCGGCCACCGATGGGGAGAGAGCATCAAATCAAAGCATGGTAGAGCTGGGCAGGCGCCAAGGGTCCTCTAGTCCAATTCCCTGCAATGCAGGAATCTCAGCTAGATCGTCCAAGGAAGGAGAGCCCACCACTTCCCATGGGAGTCCAGATGTTTAGTAGGTTTCTCCTCACTTCTAATTGGAACCCAGATTTGTTAACCCCACTCCCCGCCTGGCCGTAGTCCCTCATCCCCACTCATGGATCCGACCTTCTCAGAGAACAGCCATACTACTGCCGCTGTAGCCAAGGGATGCTTTCGCCACCTTGGGTCAGTGGCTGAAAGACAAGCACCCATTGGACATTTGAGGGGGCGTTTTTTATTCAATGTTCAAAACCCAGAGCTTGATTCCTCCCACTCCCTATTTGTACATAAACTCAAGAGAGAAACTCCCCACTATATTTTTGTGATTCCCTTTTCCTCTAAAGTTGTGTCGCCTGCCCCCTGCCCCCCTTTGAAAAAAACACAACGAAACACTGGGGCGGGGAGAGGGAATGCCACTCAACGCGTGATGGTCTGGTAGCTGCAAAGTCGCGTGTCGTAGACGTGTTGTGACATGACGCTTTGAGCTGTGTTTGCAACCTATTGCCAGGGTTGGGGAGGAAGAAGACTAAAGGGGGGTCCAGGCAGCCCCTTTTCTCTCCCCCAACCTCTTCTCCCCAGGCAGATGCTCCTTCTTCCCCACTCAAGGAATCTGGGGAGGGCAATTTAAAGTGCTAACTTGTTATATCTTTGTTATTTATTCTTGTCTGGAAAGTGCATCCCCTTTCCCACTCTTCCCATGGGGATAGAGGCCTTTCCTATTGCTGTGATTCTGTCTCTGTGTGGATCAAAGTTTCAATGGATCAGTGGTGTAAAAGACAAAAATAAATATATTATATAAATATAAAAAAACAAACACCCTCAAACCTGCTGAAAAAATGCACACATTTTGTCGCTGGAAAGAAACCAATAGAAAGATATATATAAATAATATATATATATATTATGCAGAGAAAGAGAGTTATATATGTACCAAGATATTAAACTGGAGAAATGATAAGAAGAAATTTGTGTATTATTGGAGGTGTGGGACAAAGGGGCGAAAAGTACCTCTGGAATAAGAGATTCTGCCGTTTCCAGGGATGGCCCAAGGTGTTTTCAGTGACTGCAAATGGCACCCTCTGGTCGAAACCACCACACCATCCCACCTACCTGCAGGGATGCCTGTCCACAGTTGTGTTCACACGCCATGAGCCAGAGCTTTTGGCTTGCCCTGGTTTACTGGGAGCAAGCCGTGTGCTGCTGCCCCCTGTCCCCCGCTCTGCTCCTTTCCTGGTGAGCGCAGGATAAGCAGGTTGCCTTGAACTCCTGTTGCCTCCAAAACGGGGGCTGCAGCCTGTTTCTCCCCAACAAGCCACACTCGCTACTCAATCTAAAGCTACGTTTTGTTATGTGTGAATGGAGCCTGTGTATCTGTTCTGATAGTTAAAAAATGGTTTTTGAAAAAAATCCAAAAATCAGTTATTGTGTCTCTGAAAAAACATAACCAGGCTTAAAATGAAATCTTGAGTTTAATACAAACATGTTAAAACCTTCACTTACAATCTTTTAAATCTGAATCATAAGCATTGATTAAACACATTAAGTTAAAGTCTATCTATCTATTAAAAAGAAGATCGGGGGCAGGGAGAGATGTTCACAATTTGAGATATGAACATATTCTAGAGCTCAGGTAGCTGGGGTTATAAAGCAAAAGTACAGTTTCACCCACGCGATAAATAGGATGGCTTTTCCTGTTGATTTTAGTCCCTGGCTCCAGGAAGAGGCCCACAATAAAACACAGGGCTTACTGTGCCATTTATCGTTCTTAACCTCCAAAGTCAGGTATTTGTAAGTCTCCTAACCCCAACAGCCCAGATGCTTTTTAGAAGTCCTGGGCAATGCTGGTGATTTGTACCAATGGCCTGGATTAAAAACTTAAGAGTGAATCTGGTCCGCTGACTATCTACCCCATCTGACTTCTCCTCTGCAACTGGTTTGCTGGCCCAGAGGGGAAAGTGATGCTCCAAAGCGGATCAAGGGGAGCCTCCCAGTCAGACCACTGGTCCAGCTATCTCCGGATTTCCCCCACTGACCGGCAGCAGCTCTCCAGGGTTTCAGGCAGTCCCACTTGGAAATGCTGGGGTCGAGCCTGTGACCTTGATATGCTCTGCCCCTGAGTCGTGGCCCTTTCCCCAAAGCGCTGCGGCTGCGGCTTGGGGAACCTGCAACCATTTGCCGAAAAGCAACCCCCGCCCTCCGTACAGCACCAGGCCGCATCAACCCCCTTCCCTGCTTGAGGGGTCCCTCAGTTCCTTTGGGGCATCAGTATCCACCTACGCTGTTTCCTGGCACCCCAGACTTTGAGCTGACCTCACAGCCACACGCCGAGGGAAGTCAGGAAGCCTGGGAGGAAAATGCTTCATGTCGAATGTGGGCACACAGAGGCAAACCACCATGGGCACAGCTATGGCATTCAATTCCCCCACTGCTTGGGGGTCGCTTTACAAAAGCACTTGGGCACCCTTTGGCACTGGGGGGGACGACCGGTGGCCCTCTGGAATTTGTGACTGTGAGCCATGCTGGCTGGGACTAATTGGGAGCCCAAGAGCACCTGGGAGGACCAAGGTACCCCCCCCCACTTTAGAACCATAGAGTTAGAAGGCGGGACTCAAACCCTCAACCTTGAGATTCAGTCTCATGCTGTACCAGCTGAGCTATCCCAAAATCTGCCCCCACTCCCTACATAGTTTCCTCTCATGACTTTCAGTACCCAGGCAATTCATTTGCAAGTCAAAGGCAGAGAGAGATCATTCTCAGGGGCTCCTCTGAAGATATGGCACTCCTGGCTGCCAAAGCTGCAGCATAGCAGAGCTCTAGCCCTGTGCATGCCTGGGAAGCACAAGGCAGTGTCCACGTCACCCCTGCATTTATGGGGCTGATGTGCAGCTTTATGGGTAGATTGCCATGCAGAACAACCATCGCAACCCCATGTCCTTTGCTGCATGTACATGGGGGTGTGCACACAGGTGAGACAACTGGAAACCAGAGGGATGATGTGAGGAAGTGTGTGTCCACCTGAACTGTCAGAAGGGCTGCCATCCCACCTTCCTCTGAGTTCCAGGAGTCCTTGAGGTCTAGATACATGCCCCCTTTTGTGTAAAGGAAACTGACTCTCCACAAGCCAGCAAAACAGCAAGCCTCCTTGTGATGCAGCTCAGATAGGTAGGTTGTGGTTTGGCAGGCCTGGACAGAGGGAGGAGGACATCATCCAGATAGGGCATAGCCTTTTTATTACACCATCTTCCAGCTCCTTTTCCACAGACCACCGTCCTTCTTTCACCCCTCCCATGCTTTTCCTCTCCTACTGAAGTTCCCAAGCAAACAAACAAATGACACCTACAACATCCTGGAAACAGAATAAGCCCCATAAAAGAATACACCTGGGGACAATGAAGCCAAAGTCATTGCAGAGCAGGGATGTTTCAATGTGTTTCCTGCTTTGGCAACCCCCTAGTAGGACTGCAGGCTTTGGAGTGAGAGTGAAATCCAGGTGGACACCCCCAGCCCCAGCGTCTCTCCGCACACAGACCTGGGCGATACACCCGGATGCCAGGGATGCAGCTGCCCCCTGGGACTGACCGGCTCCTCTGTCCCCCCAGGGAGGGCCGCGAGTTGCACACTGGCCTCGAGGGGGACGTGACCTTTGGTAGCAGTTCCAGTCTCGCCACGTTAGCTGTGGAGCCGCAAGGCAGCGGGGAAAGCAAAGGGAGTCAGCTCTTCGTTGTGACCCACCCGATGGAGGGTGGGCTCAGAGGCACTGCGCTCGATCTTGGGCAAAGAACGTTGGAGCGACTCAATGGAGGCCAAAATCTGGAAGAATGGGAAATGGAGGTCAGACCAGAACTGTGCCCCTCCCCACCAGACACTACCTTAGCAAGCCCAGGTTCTGGACTGTGGAGGTTTAGGCCTAAATCAGCAGTGTGGGGAACTGCAGTGTGTCTCAGGGCCCATGCAGGGACTCGACTTTGGCATTTTGTTTTGTTGCAAGCACGTCTCTGGCCCTTATTGCTGCAATGGTGGTCTTCAAAGCAATGGGGTGTGACCTGCATCCCTCTGAATGTTTTGGGACTGGCTCTCATCAGCCCCAGTGAACCCGGCTGGTGGTCAGGGATGATGGGGTTGTAGTTCAACACCTGCACAGCCAGAGACCTACCAGCCCTCCTTTAAACTTGTAGGCAACCTCAGATGACACCAACATGGCCACCTCAGGATTTGCTGTGTGTGTTTGTGCTTCAATGCGTAGCTCCTTCCCGCTTTTCATAACTAGCCAAAGCAGAATGACATTTGCAAACAAAAGTAGTACACGCAGATCTTAATTTGCCCAATTTGTATAGGAAACATGCCTGCGTTTTGCAGGATTATTATTAAATGCAAACAAACGGAGGCTCTCCAAACTAAAAGCTAATCAAAGGAAGGAAGGAAGGAAGGAAGGAAGGAAGGAAGGAAGGAAGGAAGGAAGGAAGGAAGGAAGGAAGGAAGGAAGAGGTATGTGGGTCAGGAGCAGGTAAGAGTGCATCTGAGTATGTGCAAAGTTCCTTGCCATTTTCCTGGAGGATCCTTACCAGTACCTATATTTCCTGACTTGTGGTTCTAAAGCAGTTTGAACCTTAGGACTCTCTCTTTA